CAGAGGCTAGGGACACCATCCTTGCCCATCCTAGCTAATAGCCATTGAAGGACCTATCCTCCATGAATTTATCTAGTTCTTTTTGAATCCTGCTATAGTCTTGGCCCTCACAACATCCTCTGGCAAAGAGTTCCACAGGTTGACTATGTGCTGAATGAAAAAAATATTTCCTTTTGTTTGTTTTAAACCTGCTGCCTATTAATTTCATTTGGTGGCCCCTAGTTCTTGTGTTATGAGAAGGAGTAAATAACACTTCCTTATTTACTTTCTCCACACCAGTCATGATTTTATAGACTTCTATCATATTCCCCCCTTAGTTGTCTCTTTTCCAAGTTGAAAAGTCCCAGTCTTTTTAATCTCTCCTCAGATGGAAGCTGGTCCATACACCTAATCATCTTTGTTGCTCTTTTCTGAACCTTTTCCAGGTCAAATATATCTTTTTTGAGATGGGGCGACCATATCTGCACACAGTATTCAAGGTATGAGTGTACCATGAATTTATAGAGAGGCAACATGATATTTTCTGTCTCATTATCTATCCCTTTCTTAATGATTCCCAACAATCTATTCACTTCTTTGACTGCCACTGCATATTGAGTGGATGTTTTCAGAGAACTATCCACAATGACTCCAAGATCTCTTTCTTAAGTGGTAATAGTTAATTTAGTCCCTATCATTTTATATGTATAGTTGGGATTATGCTTTCCAATGTGCATTACTTTGCATTTATCAACACTGGATTTCATCTGTCATTTTTTTGCCCAGTCACTGAGTTTTGAGAGATGCTTTTGTACTCTTTGCCGTCTGCGCATGGGACTTAACTCTCTTGAGTAGTTTTGTATCATCAGCAAATTTTGCCACCTCACTGTTTACCCCTTTTTCCAGATCATTTATGAATATGTTAAAAAGGACTGGGCCCAGTACAGACCCCTGGGGGACACCACTATTTACCTCTCTCCATTCTGAAAACTGATCGTTTATTCCTACTGTGACATTGCACTCCATATGTTTTATGGAAATATGTTTATGAGTGTGAATATGATGTAACTGGAATATGTTTTATGTAAAAGGTCTCTTGTAAGATATCATAACAAAGGTATAACCTACTGAATATATTCCTCCTATTTGTATGCATGTATTATTCTTGTATCTGAAGCTGCAAATATGAAGTATAATTCTGAGGTTCTATTGTAATTATGCAAAGTGTGGGCCATTAAGGGTGGTTTAGAATCTTGATGACTTCCATTGACTAGGACAATTGGTTGTAAATTGTTTATTTACCTGCAAGCCTTCTGTGTACATGTGGGCCAACCCAGGAAGAATGGCGACTAGGGATAAGTGATTAATAGCTGGGGGAGCAAACAGCTGTGATTATCTCTCTCTCAGTGTTATAGAGGGTGGACAATTTACGAATTTACCCTGTATAAGTTTTATACAGAGTAAAATGGATTTATTTGGGGTTTGGATCCCATTTGGAGCTGGGTGTCTGGATGCTGAGCTGTTTTCACTTAAAGCCTGCAGCTTTGTGGGGTGTGGTCCAGACCCTGGCGCTGTGTTGCAGCAGGCTAGTGTGTCCGGCTCAACAAGACAGGGTTCTGGAAGTCCCAGGCTGGCAGGGAAAACAGGCTCAGAGGTAATTTCAGCACATCAGGAGACAGTCCCAAAGGGGTCTCTGTGACCGAACCGGTCACACCTTTCCTGCCTTTCAACCAGTTACCAATCCATGAGAGCACCTTCCCTCTTATCCCATGACTTTTTACTTCATTTAAGAGCCTTTGGTGAGGGACATTGTCAAGGGCTTTCTGAAAATCTAAATACACTATGTCCACTGGATCCCCTTGTCCACATGCTTGTTGACCCCCTCAAAGAATAATAGTAGATTGGTGAGACATGATTTCCCTTTACAAAAACCATGTTGACTCTTCCTCGACAAATTATTTTTGTCTATGTGTCTGGCAATTTTGTTCTTTACTATAGTTTTAACCAGTTTGCCTGGTACTGAAGTCAGGCTTACCAGTCTGTTATTGCTAGGATCACCTCTGGAGCCCTTTTTAAAAATTGGCATCACATTAGCTCTCCTCCAGTCATTTGGTACAGAAGCTGATTTAAATGATAGGTTACAGACAACAGTTAGAAGTCCTACTATTTCACATTCAAATTCCTTCAGAACTCTTGGGTGAATCACATCTGGTCCTGGTAACTTATTGTTGTTTAATTTATCAATTTGTTCCAAAACCTCCTCTAATGATACACCAATCTGGGACAGATCTTCAGATTTGTCACCTAAAAAGAATGGCACAGGTGTGGGAATCTCCCTCACATCCTCAACTGTGAAGACCAATGCAAAGAATTCATTTAGTTTCTCCACAATGGCCTTATCATCCTTGAGTGCTTCTTTAGCACCTCGATCATCCAGTGGCTTCCTGCTTCTGATGTACTTAAAAATAATAATTTGCTATTACTTTTTGAGCCTTTGGCTAGCTGTTCTTCACATTCTTTTTTGGCCTTCCTGATTATATTTTTACACTTCATTTGCCACAGTTTATTCTCCTTTCTATTTTCCTCATTAGGATTTAACTTCCACTTTTTAAAGGATGCCTTTTCCCCTCTCACTGCTTCTTTTACTTTGTTGTTTAGCACGGTGGCTCTTTTTTGTTCTCTTACTACGTTTTTTTAATTTGGAGGTATGCATTTAAGTTGAGCCTCTATTATGGTGTCTTTAAAAAGTTTCCATACAGCTTGCAGGGATTTCACTTTTGGTGCTGTACCTTTTAATTTCTGTTTCATTAACCTCCTCATTTTTGTGTAGTTCCCCTTTCTGAAATTAAATGCTACAGTGTTGGGCCAGTGTGGTGTTTTCCCCACCACAGGGATGTTAAATTTTATTATATTATAGTCACTATTACCAAGCGGTCCAGCTATATTCACCTCTTGGACCTGATCCTGTGCTCCACTTAGGACTAAATCAAGAATTGCCTCTCCTCTGGTGGGTTCCAGGACTAGCTGCTCCAAGAAGCAGTCGTTTAAAGTGTCAAGAAACTTTATCTCTGCATCCTGTCCTGAGGTGACATGAACCCAGTCAATATGGGGATAGTTGAAATCCCCCATTATTATTATTGAGTTTTTTATTTTAATTGCCTCTCTAATCTCCCTGAGCATTTCACAGTCACTATCACCATCTTGGTCAGGTGGTCTGTAATATATCCCTACTGCTATATTCTTCTTATTAGAGCATGGAATTACTATCCAAAGAGATTCTATGGTACAGTTTGGTTCATTTAGGATTTTTACTTCATTTGTTTCTACGCTTTCTTTCACATATTTAGATGCTTTGTCAGAATCTGGGAATGAGCAACAGGGGCTGGATCACCTGGTTATTACCTGTTCTATTCATTCCCTCTGGGGCACCTGGCACTGGCCATTGTTGGAAGACAGAATACTGTGTCTGGAAACATTTCAGAGAATGCTACCATGGAGGTCCTGGACTTCAATCTCTTACCTAGCAGCCTAAATTTGGCCCCCGGGACCTCTCTCCTATCCTTCCCTATGTCATTGGTACCTACATGTACCATGACAACCAACTCCTCCCCAGCACTAAACATAAGCCTATTTAGATGTCTCAAGAGATCCACAATCTTTGCACCAAGCAGGCAAGTCTCCATCCGGTTATCCCGGTAATCGCAAACCCAGCTATCTATGTTTCTAATGATCAAATCACCCATTGCTATTACCTGTCTCTTCCTAAGTAACTGGAGTTCCCTCCCCTGGAGAGGTATCCTCAGTACAAGAGTGTACCACAATATCATCTACTCCAGTTAGATGTTCTCCTTCCCTGGGGCTTTCATCCTCCTCAACAGCACAGAGGCTGTCAGACCAGGGGTGGGACTTTTCTACTGTGTCCCAGAAAGTCTCCTCTGTGTACCTCTCTTTCCCTTAGCTCCTCCAGCTCAACCACCCTGGTCTCCAAAGCCCGTGCTCAGTCTCTGAGGGCCAGAAGCTCCTTGCACCAAATGCACACATATACCACCTGTCCATAGGCAGGTAAACGTACATGCTGCATTGGGTGCACTAAACTGGATAGCCCCCCACTCTGTTGCTGGACTACTGCCTGCATTCTTCTTTTACTCCTGAAGCTGGTTCCTTTGTTGATGTTTTGTTTTTATCAGGTGTTTTTTAGCTTAAGTTTAAAGAAATTTAAAGAATGTTAAGTGTATCTAGCCCCTTCTCAGACTCCCCCTGTAAACTCCCTCACAAAACTCCCGTTAGCTGTTCCTGTTCACTGGATCCTCTGGTCATAGAATCATAGATTATTAGGGTTGGAAGGGACCTCAGGAGATCATCTAGTCCAACCCCCTGCTCAAAGCAGGATCAATCCCCAACTAAATCCCCAAATGGCCCTCTCAAGGATTGAACTCACAACCCTGGGTTTAGCAGGCCAACGCTCAACACTTAGGGGTGGGCTTTTTAAAGCCCTGGTCTTCCTGAGTAGCCCTGCCCCCTGGTTAAATGTTGATGGGTGCTAAAGGGCTTAGGGATCACAGCCTCATTAAGAAGCTCTCAGCTCTCAGCCTTGCCTAGCAGGTCGCTAGGCTCAGCACATACACAGTCAGCACATGGTCTCCCAAACAAACAAATCACACAATATATTTTACTCAAGCAGTAAGCACCCCACAAACACAAACATAAACACACACACACACACCAGACAACAAACTTACCCCAAGGGTCACATAGTCGCTCTTCCTTCACCTGGAAAACTCCCTGGCAACACTCCCCGTTAACCACTCTTCTTCACTAGCTCTGTTCCTGTTTGAACCAGCAACTTGCACAAGGGCACTAACACTGGAGATACTTCCCTGGAGACATCCTAGGTGCTGGTCTCCCTAGCTGGGCTGCATCTCCCATGATGCACCATGGCTCCCCTCTGAGCAGTGGGGCATGGGAGGGGCACGGCCATACTGGTTTCTACCAGCTCCTTCCCCTGCAGCAGCTTGCTGTACCCCCAGTGTCTCCGGGCGGGGGGATATTTACCTGGAACGCTGATTTCTTGGCGTGGGAGCTGCTGGTGCACAGCACGGTGGTGGAGTCATAATGCTGGTACCACCCTTTGCACAGGCCGTCTGACACCACCTCCTGCTCTGCCTCCAGCAGCCTGTTGGTGGTGGTGTTCACTCCTGTCTGACTCCGCCCATTCACGCTGCACTCGGAGCCTGGGCTGACATGGTGATTGATCTCTGGCAGGGGGATGGGCCTCACCCACTCCGTCAGCTCTGCGCTGTGTGATAGCTGCCATGGGCGAGAGAGAAAGAGAATGGACCCGGATCAGCACAGGGATCGGAGCTGGTGTGGGGCAGCACCACCCGGTTGGAGCCTGGATGTCTGTCCAGGGAATGAGTGTGGGGTCACTGGGGGTGGAGTGATGGGATGGGGGTGCTACGTGCAACAGTGTGCATTCACTGGGGGTGGGGTGATGGGATGGGGTGGTATCTGAAGCAGTATGTGGTTACTGGAGGTGGGGTGATTGGATGGGGTAGTGCCCTGGCAGTGTGAGGTCAGTGGGGTGGTACCTTCAGCAGCATGGTGTCATTGTGAAAGTTCTCATTGTTGAAGTCAGGGTGCTGGACCCAGTGATGGGCCTGGATCCATTTCCAGTTCTGTCCCGGCTTCATGAAGTCTCAGGCCTGGTCTACACTAGGCTTTTATGTCGACTTTAGCGCCGTTATATCGAATTAACCCTGCACCCGTCCACACCAGGAAGCCATTTAG